GACAGACAGACAGACAGACAGACAGACAGACAGACAGACAGACAGACCAAGGCATGGAATAAATGGCATGAAAGAGGAACCTGAAACTTAATATCTCAAATGGCGAAGGCACAGTTATTAAAAATAGTTTCCAAGTCAAGTCTTTCATGACAGACTGAAAAATCATTTTGGGTTACGTTGATTGGACATTCCAAATTGCCCTTAGTGTGTGTGTGGTTGTTCGTCCCTGTATGTCTCTGTATGCCCCTGCGATGGACTGGTGGACAGTCCAGGGTGTACCCCGCCTCTTGCCCAATGACTACTGGGATAGGCTCCTGTCCCCATCAGGGAATAAGCGATTATGAAAATGGATGGATGGATGGATAAAGAGTGATTGAAATCCATCAGAGGAAGAAAGCAGCCTACCAGTTTGGACCCAGTCAGTCCAGAGGTCCACGCTTCACATACAGATAGTGTACTCTTGAAGGAGTCCTTTTCCAGCCCAGTTTTGAATCAGATTTCTACAGTGTAATTAAAGTCACATTAACTTCAGCTTTTGCATGATTTGTTACGCCACCCACTCGTCTTTCCACCAACAGCTAGTCTAGTGACTGCTCAGTAGTGACATCTATAGGTAAAAAATAAGAACTTCACTGCTTTTATAACAAAGTTCTGTTCTCTATCACTCTGTCAGTTGTTAAATTGTCATAACATAGAGTAGATTTCTATTTGCTGTCCTGCTGCTTGATATAATAAAACACAACTCAGTTGGATGCATTTGAGTGCACTGCTGCCTAACAATTAGCTGCACTCAAGAAATAAGCAGTCAGGTTTACAATAAAGTTTATTTAAGTTGAAACTTTATTAACCACACCAACTTTTACTGCCACAGTAGTACAATGGGCCCAAAATAGAGAGTGACTAAAACCCTTACAAAACAATCCACTTGGTACAACATTATGGAGACAAACCTCTGATAGTTTTGGCTTGAGAATGGCAAATTACACATATAAAAGCTGTGGAAAACTGTAATGGATATAATGCAAATTTTGAACATTTCAAGGATTGACAGAACCATGTGGTAGTGCAAGCAGAGCCAAGCACCCTATATATACTTTTTCATCAAGATATGTATTGTTAAAGCTATACATGGATATTTTTCTGCAAATCTGTTGTATCTTACTATCATCATCTTTTGCACTATACAACAGATTTTAAAATCACACCTGGGGCACCTCTGTCACCTTTTGTGTTTTGTTTCTTTGTTTTTTACCTTTTCATTCAGTTAATTCAATATGTGGTTTCATCATTTCTCTGTTTTCACTGTGTTTTGTCAAATGTTGGCTAATAGTATTTTTCAGTTTGTTGAAAAGTAATCACACACCGTCTGTACCACATATTAAGGTTTTGTCCAAACCATTTAATTCTGGGTTGGTGAGCCGATGTTACAGGAACTCACAGTGGTAGTTGTTTTCTTCTCATTTCCATCTGCCTCTTTGTGCATCAGCGCTGACGGCGGCAGCAGGACGCGGTCGTCTGTCTGTTTGCAGGCTCCTTTTGGATCAGAGCGCAGATGTGGAGCAAAAAAACAGGCAGGGTATCACTCCGCTCTTGGGCGCCGTGAGAAGGGGTCACTGGCAGGTAAAAAGCAGAGCGCATATACACTGGGATCAAGCCATTTTAAGCAGCAAGGATCATCAGTGACTGGTTGCACTCGCATCTCTCCATCAGGTGGTGGAGCTGTTGTTGAATCATGGGGCTGACATGAACCGGGTTGACCAACAGGGTCGGACGGCTCTGATGACGGCAGCTTCAGAGGGGCATATGGCCACTGCCCAGCTGCTGCTGGATTATGGTAACACCTCTCTCTGATAAAAACACAGATTCTGTAAAGCCCCCTTCTTTGTAGGTTTTACAACTGAAAGTTCATCCTTTTCTTTATCACAAATTATCTTACATGAAGAACTGCTCGAAATTTTTCCTTGATTATAGTTTTGAGGCTTGATTGTAAATGTATAGGTTTGTAGCAAAACAATGTAGTACACACACATACTGTCAGTAATGGTGGAAAAATAAATTAACCCATAGCAGTCAACAGAAACTAAACTAAAAAAAAAAGTCCAGACAAGCATGAGGAACAGGAATCAAGGAATAACCGAAATAACAAAAAAACTAAACTAAACTAGAAACACAAGAAAAACAAAACAGGAAACAAAATCACTAACTGTGACACACCCTTATTGAAATGTACCTTTACTCTTTGGAATGCAGAAAGTATCTGTGAATAAGAGACAAGAATCTAATCATTTTATTTCCTTTGAGAAACTTTACTTTTGGTCGCTTTTATATTTTTGATGATTATGTTTTTTTTCTTTTTTCCAGAAAACAGGAAATAGCTTTATCTTAGGAAGTGGTAATATAAAGGTTTGCAACAGGCTGGCACCATCACTCAGATATCAGATTGCAGAAAGCTGTTAAAAACAATGGCCATAAAACCATAAAACCATTATATAAACATAAAAAAGATAGTTTTTTAAAACTTTTTTATGTAAGTCTAAATGTAAGTCAAAGAGTAAAAGAAAACTTTAAAAAACAAACAAAAAATAAAAAAGTTGAATAAAAAGATGGACATTCTTGACAGCTTTATCACAAAAACAATGACATGTTTATTCCCTCAGTTAAAATGGATAAAGGGTATATGGCGGAGTGTACATATATTAACCCTGATAACCTTTACCTTCCAGTCATTACCAAATAAGGAGCCCATACCTTCAAGAAGAGATCTACATTTTTATTAATCCTATAAATAAGTAGTTGGAAGAAGGCCATCTTGGGATTTTCATCTCTCTTAAAACTGATCTTTTCTTTTGACTTCAGTATCTTAAGAGTACCCTGTTCCTGTTACTAAAGCTAATTTCACCCATGTGGGCATTAATGTGGATAGGCCAGATTTCCTTGGTAAAATGCTCAGAATACATAAAGCTAGTCCCCCCCTGAGCTCTACCTCTCAGTGTTCTATTTCTACATTGGATAATAGTCTGTGTGCCTCTACTTAGTCTGGTTCCCATTTGGAGCCAGGATCATTTTGTGTGTGAGCCCTTAGTCTTTTTAACATCATCTTTCAAGCTTGCCATGGCAGCTATGCCTATGATGGTGAATTAATTTGTTTGACTTTCGGGGCTGCACATTGGTGAGGTGGTTTGCACTATCACTTCCCTATGTATCCTTGGGTTCTCACCTGATACTCTTGGCACCCTTTCACAGTCTAAAACATGCACGTTTGGTTAATATGGAACTCTAAAATTGCCTGTCTCTCGCATAGTAACTGGGATAGGCTTAGTAATAAGCTGCTTCGGAAAATGGATGGTTGATTTAATTGAATTTAACATACCACAAGAGGGATTTGGCATATAATTGGCAGAAGGACAGTTATAGATGTAGATCCTTTGATGTGGAAGCATCATTCTTTACCTCAAAAGCTCCCAAAGGACCACCACAGTCATACACATGCGGGTTGGATTACAAATCTTGCCCAGGGATGCAAAGACAGTATGAAGTAGGGTGGAGATTCACACTGCGTCCAGGCATAGGCTAATGCCTGAGAGGTTGCTCCGTTTTGATAAATATATCGATACACTGTAAATCTGCAGAAGTTAAAAGATAGCTTCATCTTGAAATATTATACATACAGTTTACACCAGAAAAAACTAAAATTATAGCAGTGCAGTATACCTGTACATGAAAGCAAATAGGAAAAAAATTCAAATTGTCCAAGCAACTAGGTTTATGCTGCATATTGCTGTACAGTCAGAGGGACAAAATAGACGCAAATTACATTGACAAACACGACAAATAGTTGGTATGAGTAGCAAAGCCTTTAAGGAATTTAGTGGATTAAATAATATGATTTTTATCAGCAAAGAGTTAGATTCAAGTTGTTTATTTCAATTGGACAGAATCAAATCCAAGTAAACTTTATTGTTTAATGATCCCAAAAAACTGGTTAACTAGATTACCCTCTGTCAAGTGTAGATTAGTAATATTAACATCTATGATTCAGATGTAGACTGAGGTGACACTCTTTCTCTTTCCAGGGGCGTCTCTGAACCAGACTGACAGGGAAGGCTTAACAGCACTGAGCTGGGCATGTCTAAAAGGCCAATTCACGATGGTCAAAGAGCTGGTGGAGAGAGGTACTGCCACAACTCACGCTGACCGCAGTGGAAGGACACCTCTGGATCTGGCGGCCTTCTGTGGGGACCCAGAAATGGTTTGTAAAAAAAAAACCACACTGAGTATTCGTTTGGAACTAAAGTGTCTTTTGGTCTCTTCTCCAAGAGACCAAAAGACAAAGAATGTTATTGATACCACCTAGGCATCACTATGCCCCACAAGTGTGCATGATTTGTGAAATAAACTGTTCAAGTACTAAATGATTTTTTTCTTTTTTATATAACTTTCATTCTGTTATCAAACTCAGAATAGTTCACTTACATGAATGTGGAATTTTTTGGAATGAGTGTTTGTTGTGTGCTAATATGACAAAATAATTAACATGAAAGTTATTGATTGACTTGACTTAATCTGAACATGGGAAGACGGGGGGATTAATAGAAAAGTTTTTCAAAATCTTTACTTTTCAGTATTTTATTTTACTGTATATAGTGTAATCACTTTATAACTCTACCTTCCACTTCATTTTAAATCTCAGCATCCCCATATCTGACAGATTATGGGTTAGGGACGCAGGCACTTTAATCAATCACACCTCTAATTTATCATAAAAGCTACATAAAGCGTGGCATTTCCCCCCTTGATACTCTCACAACATGGCATCCTATTACATAGCCGAGACACAGACTTTGATAAATCACTATGATTACTATGAGTATAGTACATTTTAAAATATCACATTTGTGGGTTCATTCCACCATAGTTTATACTGGTGTGTTGTTTATAAAAAGCTAAAGTTCTGTCAACTTGACACCAACTAAGAAATGCTAAATTTGTGTCCATCTCCATGTCAGGTGCAGTATCTAGTGGATCATGGTGCATCTGTAGAGCATGTGGACTGCAGCGGGATGCGCCCTTTGGACCGAGCAGTTGGCTGCAGGAACACTTCAGCAGTCATCGCTCTTCTTAAAAAGGGAGCTAAAATAGGTAGAAGCAAGTTCTTATTAACTAAGATTTATAGAGATGGCACAGAAAACTGCAAGACAGGCAAGGTTCTCAACAGAAACTTGAGATGTTTCAAATATGATATTTTAAATTTCTTTCTCACATGACCCCACATCAAATATTTAGCACCTAGATTTTTTATTGTAATGTATGTTAAATATTATAGTTAAGATATATTTCTTCTCTTTGCAGAAAAAATGCTAGTGGTGATAAATGCCAATGCTAGCAAGTTTGCAATTGTTGTAATGCTAATATATCTAAGAGTTGGCATTGTCTCTCATGTTTGTAGACATTTTTATTTTAGCCTGGACTGTTTGGTACAAATCTGACTCCTCTAACCAAAATGTTATATGGTGTTAGAGCTGTTACTCATCAACAAACCCAAACATATTGCTTTCAAACTTGGACAGAATGCAGATATAGGCCAAACTGAAGATGATTGCAAGAATTTTTTTAACTCAGATAAACTATGTTTTAACAAGCTACACTACGCCTATAATTAAAATAAAAAGTACAAATTGATGAAAAAAAAGGTCAACAGTAACTAATACAAACAAGTATAATTAGAACGGGACAGTGATATCTATTAACTTGTGAGTGTGTGGTGTCTGTTTAGGACCAGCAACATGGGCCATGGCAACTTCTAAGCCAGATATTTTAATGGTTCTGCTGAGTAAAATGATCCAGGAAGGAGACAAACTCTACAAGGTAACCAGCAGAAGCCTACTTAGACCTGATCTTGATCTTGCACAATTTTCTCAATACGTTTATTGATTTCCATGTATGTATCTCTAGCAAGGTAAAGTGCGGGAAGCTGCCCACTCCTATCAGTCAGCTCTTCAGAAGTTTCCAGGAGATGAGCTGAAGACCTTCAAACAGATGAGAGTGTGCGTGCTGCTCAACCTATCGCGCTGCCGCCGAAAGATGAATGTGAGTCTCATTCTGGAACATATTTAATTATAACCAGTAAAATTCCAGAAAGTTTTATTCTTTTTTTTATTAGGCAATACATTTCCAAAGTTTCTGACTTCCTGAATTGTGAAATACTTTTCTTCTCAGGACTTTAACCTTGCTGAGGAATTCGCAACTAAGGCTCTGGAACTGAAAGCCAAATCCTATGAAGCTTTTTACGCCCGTGCTCGTGCCAAACGAAGCCGCAGGTAACCATTGTGTCATTCTGAAGTGTCAGAATTAACTGTTCTTCTGATACTGTAGTTTAATATGAAATAATTTTCCTATCTCTTCAAACTCCAAATCCTCCACCATGGTAAATAAATGATGAATAATGATGATAATAATAACAGTGGTAAATGAATTAGAGACCAAGTTTAAATTCATATGGGAAAAATAAGGATCAGAATCACAAACTTTGCAAATTTGGAGTAAAGACTAATTTTGTCCATTTTGGCCACTGCAATGACCTCTAAGCTTGATGATTGTATTAACATTTGAACAAGTTATTCGTTCATCCTTTATGAAATGAATGCATTTGTAAAATCAACAAGAAAGCCCCCTCTTTCCTCTCAAGGAGCTTCTGAATGATAATATAATCCTAATCATTTCACATAACAAAGTTTGTTGTGAGTTCATTGAGCTAAGTATTACAAGCAGACAAAATGTACAAATAATCACGCTATCAGGCACATTACTCTTTCAGATGACATCTACGATCTTAAAAAAAATGACAAGGAGCTATCAGTTACCCCAGTACTATTGAATATTTGTTACAAGAAAGTGTATTTATTTGTTTTACAAGGTTGTAATTACTTTAGAGTAAACAGCAGATTAAATAGAATGGGACCTTTGACATTTTTGTCATTTCCAATTGACATTGTGTATGTTGGAACTTCTGATGAGGCAGCTTTTCTCTTCCCATTTAGAGATTTTTATGCAGCATTGGAAGACCTGATTGAGGCCAGCCGTTTGTGCCCGTCAAACCGAGAGATCCAGCGTCTGCTGTCTCGGGTTAAAGAAGAGTGCCGGCAGGTTGCTCAACAGCAAGACTGCTCTACTTCATCTCACAATGTTTATCAACAAAGTGTTCCCATGTCTCATAATGAAGCCAGGTGCAGAGATTCAGGTTGTCTACAGGTGCAGGACAGGGAGGGGCTTACAGAGGAAGAGGAGGAGGGGGAAAGGGATGAAGAGTGGAGTTGCAGAGAAAGAGAGTCCTCCTCCCTGCAACCTTCACGAGCCGTTCAGTGTTTGGACACCCATTGCCACTCAGGAGGGCCATCACCCTCATCCCTGTCCCCCACTCACATGCATCATCACATTTCCAGTCCCACCCACTCCACGGGCATCTCTTCCCCTGGTCATTCGGCTCCCTCAGCTATACCCCCATCCTATCCTAATTTTAGCCCTTCTTGTTCCCCGATACATCATCATCAACAAGCTTGTCCTGTGTTTGAAAACGTACATACCGGGTCAGGAGGTGGTGAATTTCACCTCCAGTCGCAGACTGCCTCGGTACTGCAACACTTTGATCAGAATCAGGGAGCGCAACAGAACTACTTTCTATCCAATCAGAGGTCCCTCCAGAAGCACAATCCTGGCCAAGGCCAGTGGCTTCAACAAGCCAAAGTGCAGACTGTGAGAACCAGTCAGCCCAGTTCCACAGTCCAATCCAGCATTGCTTTGGGGAGTTCTGCCTACTCCCAGTTTGCACATCTGCCCCAAGAACTAGCAGAGCTTGGAGAAGGCTTTTGCCCAAGCACTTTAGATGTAAGCCCTGGTCCTGCTGCTCTTAGCTCTGGAGCATCATGTGCACTGGATGATGATGATGATGATGATGATGATGACAACCTTATTTGCCAGACAAGAACTACATCTTCCTATGGAAGAGGTTCAGGACTGGAGCGGGCAGGATTAAATCGCTTTGTCCAGTCCCGGCAGTTCAGTCGCAACCAGTCCAAAGCTGCTTACTACCCAATGGAAGTTACAGAAGCAGAAGGGGGGCCTTCTGAAAGGCTTCCATTATCACACGATCATCAGTACCACAACCAGGGTGGGGTTCACTGCCCTCTCAGTGCCCACCCAACATCGTCCTCGGCTCCACCACCCAGACCTCTCATTCACTCCCAGAGTGTTAGTGTTCGCTTCTCTTCCAGCAGTGGCAGTCTCACAAGTGGACAGTCCCCTGTTCATGGTTCAGGCTTCAGGACTTCCGCGTCTGCCCTGCATATCGATCTACCTTCAGATTCTGTTGGTGGTGGAACTGGTTATCATGACGATCTTTTTCCAATTTCCCACCCGCAGTCAGAGCTTTCTATTGCTGGGGGGACTTATCCTGGAGAGGCAGGACGCTCATCTAGGACCACTCCATTTATGGGTATAATTGATAAGACTGTGCGTGTGCACCAGCAGTATCAGCAACAAGTTCCATCAAGTTTACCATCCTCCCTCAGCCCCTCGCGCTCCTGGGCTGTGTCTTCAGTGGACACAGTAGTCACCTCACCCAGCAAAGTCCCTGCCAACCATGGAGGCATCGCTCCCCACCAGCCTTCGTCTATTGCTTACTACAACCGTAGCAATAATAATGCCCACAATGGTCACCTTCTCCATGACAACCAACCAGACTTTTATGAGGTGGTTGCAGGCAGTGATCAGAAGGGTGAGGGCGTAGCACAGTTTGCTTGTCAGAATCCTTCCTACATGGATGTGAGGATGGCCCGAGCACTCCCAGTTCTCCATAGCAGCTCGGACAGACCGACTGAGAGGAGAACGGGTCCTGCCTCTCCTGTCAAACCAAAAAGGCCCTTTGTCGAGTCAAACGTGTAGAGACAACTAAAAAGATAACTTAAAGTAGATAAAAGGAGGTTATGTAACACTTTTTTCCAAAATGTATTGGGACTGTGGAATTCATGCACTGCTTGATACAAATGAGGTTTCCACCTTATTGGACAGGCAAGTCATAGTTCTAATGGGTGTAACTGCACACTCTCTGTTTGTGAAGGTGGCTGCACTTGATTTATGTTGTTGTATGTATTCAGCAGTACCCACGGAGATTCAAAACTAGTTGTTTCAGAGAAAATAATATCAGAATATAAGGTAATTTGCTGCTCCAAGGTTTTTGTGACATTGCCGAGTTTAGAGACGAGCACAAAAAGAACTCGTTAGTAGGCTGTGTAAGTTTAAAAACATGTCACATAATAAAGTTAGGTCTTCTCTAACCAATGGAATGGCAATTATCAAGAATAGCAACTCAAGAAATTCTCGTCCATCTTTTAGGAGGATGAAGCACAAGAAGGAAGAGATAGATTGTGGAGAAATCTTCCTAACTTCCCATTCATGATCATTTCTGACGTTATTGCATCTCCATAACAGGAGGTTCTGGAGAAACGAGTACTATAGCACCATTGTTACCTTTTTCCTGCTGCAGAGGCCTTCAGTGAACATTCTCATGTCATGTAAAGACTTGAAATGGAGAGATGGATCCAGACTCTGCAAGTTGTGCCTGCTGAATGCTGGCCAGTGACTCACGACAAGCCACATTTTTAGAAACTAGGACAAGATTTAAAAAAGCATTGACTCTGTGCATAAACAAGCAAGATGATATTTATCTTCTTTAAATTATGTCTGTATTTAACTGTAAAAAAAAAGTGTTTTGTCTCCATAATGTTTATTCCTTTTTGGTTTTTATCTGTTTATTTTTGTGAAGTTTCACTCAGATAACACAAACTGAGAGGCAGTTTAAGAGCTCTGAAACTTTACAAACATCTTTCTGCATAACCTTGTAAAATTGTCTTTTAAGTTCCCTTTTTGTCTTTACCATGCTTTAAGTAGAAAGCATGGGAATCATTCTTGTTTTTTTGTTTTTGTTGATATTTTCTCATTTCTTGTATGAAGCCTTTTTTAATCCTGAAGTCATAATGGTCATTATTTATGCAACCCACATTGCTTCCAGCTGATGTAACCATTCACATATTTATTGGAAAGATGACACTTGCAAGTCCCGTAAGTTTCACATTTGTCTCTCCTGCTGTTGGTGTTTTAGCAAACCCCCACCCATTTTTGGTTTTGGTTTATTTTTGTTGTTTTTTTTCTTTGCGAGATGAGAAGGTTCATAATAAATTTGTGTTTCTGACAAAATATAAGCGCAGACCGAGACTGTGTATAGAACAAAATACCTTGACTTAGGCATGAAATTCTTCATACTAACAGACAAATTAAAAATGCCAACCACAGAACCTCTCAGACAGAGGTAGGTCATCGGGCCAAATCAAAGGATAAATAATGGCTACTTTGTTTCCATTCTTCCCTGAGCGTATGTGACACAGCTTGTTAACTCAAGTGATAGTTTGGTGTGCAGATTTTAATTTGTGCTTCCAAAAAACAGACACAGATAAACTCATAAAGCACAGCACCGTGGTGGCCATTTGCAGCTAAATCAGCACACTGTCAGTATTTTAGATACCCTGCAAAAGTCTGTAAATTATGTTTTTAGGAGGGCTCGCGGTCTTTTTCAAATAAGCCAATCTTGTTGTGTTTTTCTCACACTGTCATCATAGTACAGGTATTTTGGACACGGTATTTCAAACACATTTGAATTAAGATGCACAAATTAAATACAAATGAATAGCAAATAAAAGTATCTTTCACACTCAGTGTAGTAAAATGTCCTTAAAGAGCACCAACTTTAAGGCTTTGCATCTATCTTGAAATAAAACTTGGCCTGAGTGCAGTAATTTAGAATTTTAAAAGACAAAAATATTATCTGGTAAACCTGATAGAGGTATCTAACTGTCACTCCTGAGGCAACATTTCCAAAAGAACTGCTGGTATTCCTTAATTGGGATTGAAAATGTATTTTCTGCTCAAAAATATTCAATTTCATTTCCTTTTTTATGTTTTTCCAATGTACAAGCATATCGGTTAGAGGTTTTGGAACCTCAGACCTCTCGGATGACTGCCCTTATCTCTTACTGCTAAGGAGATTACAGCTGTAAAAACAGGTGCTAACACCCATTTTCACAGTGCAGCAGTAGGGAATGAAAAATGGCGTCTTATTGTAGTGCTTACACACATTAACAGCAAGGTGGTTGAATGTTGAAAACGTTATAAGGAAAAGGAATAATGTAAAAACAACATCGTGTGAAACTGGGTTTTCATGTGCATCAGTGTATGCCTCTGGAGCCCCCTGACTGTCTGTGTGACTGTCTGAGTCAAACAATGCGCCTACCCTGGGTCACCATGTTCTCTGACAGTGTGGTGATTCTGGGCATCTTCACTGTAAAATAAATTTATATTTAAAATCCAAGAAGATTATCACAAGCAAAATGTCATTATTGAACATTTAAAACAAGGATATGTGTTTGAAATTAACTGCTGGGTTACCTTTAAAAAGAAGAATAAAGCTGAATGACAGACATGTTAAAAGTCGTCTCTCTCCTTTTGGATGTGACCTTGCAGGGACAGCTGTGACTAAACATAAATACATGAATCCCGAAATGCAAATAAATAATATACCTACATTACGCACATTATGTTGAGTAAACCTTACCAATTGATGGCAGTATAATTTTATTTGAATTCTTTTGTTGTTTTGGGATGTACTTATTAGATTTTTTTTTTAATTCTGTGGCCAAAAGCAATCCAGTAATTTACTATTTTAGCTTTGATTTGGAAGTGTCATGAGAAGCAGTGAAATCCTACTGCAGCTTTAATTGATATGGACAACTACTAAGACAACTACTTATTTAATTCTGGATGTTTTTTAGACATGGTATGATTAAGTAATGTAAGTCAGTCAAAGGTTGTGTTAGTGCACACCCACACCATCAAACATTCTTCTTTGCATTTAGAGGGAAGCACATGCAGATGCCATTAATTCCTTCTACAGAATTCTACAGTTTAAATGTCACTCTGCCTTCATATCCTGATGCTAGTAATCTTTTTCCTCTTATTGACCTTCCTCCATACTTGTTTCTTTGCATAATGGAGGCGAGGTTCAAAACGTCCAAAAAGCAACGTCTACTCAACCTTTTAACTGACCCTTAAGTTTGACCCAATAACTAATCAATCTGAGGATGTTTCTGAGACTTCTCTTTGACAACAAAAGTGATTTGCAGTCCCACTCATTATCTAAGTTGCTCCCTTGGGCCTTGCATTTTGGCCAAGTGTTTCATGTTACAGGGGTAGATGAGACTTTCTTTTTGCTGCCCTTTAACAAGGATGTTGGTTGCTATTTGGATGGTAAGATGACAACAACTTGGTCACCTACCCTACCTACTTACAGTGCAAAATTAAAGGAACTGGGTCAGTTGGGCGGGACTGGGATTTGGCTTTTGTCCTCCAGTTCTGAACGATTTTCTTGGACTTTGTTTAATAGTTTTTTTTCAACTGAACTCTACAATTTATTTTAATTTCTGGAAGTAAACAAAGAATTTCTTGTCTCTAATAAAAGCAGTTGTTTAATCAAACTTTATACCAACACATGGTGATGGTTTTCAACTTGTTTCAGTTAAGGCCTCCTGGATTTTGTCGAGCAAGGATAATGCCTTATCCATGTGTTTGGCTGTCTGAAATGCATCAGTCACAAACTAAAAAAACAGTGTATTAAAACATACTTGGTTTAAAATGTTACAAACCCATAAATATAACTATTTTTCCATGTTACAAGTTTATGTCCAGCACGAGTGAAGTTAATTCTCAGTGGTTTTGCACAGATTTAGAGTTAATCTGCATCATATCTGAGGGTGATGAATGATGATACTAATCACACCCTCACATCTGTGAAAATCTGACTGTTCAACAGCACAGAGAAATTTCACAAGATCAGAAAGGATTTTTTTAAACATTCAGTAAAAAGACCAGAAGGGAAGTTTACTTTAAAGGTCACAGCCAGACAAGTAAAGAATTGGAAACCCTTTATTTTGAGCGAATTCAATGTTTAAATACCTCTTGTCCTGTAAAATGACTGTTACAAATACTTTTAAGCTACGTGAATGAACAAGACAAATCCACATAAAAGTGAAGCCATTTCACACATACACACACTGTATTTCAGATTGTATGAGAAAGACTGGAAAGTGCACCATCGTAAAAAAAAATATGAACGAATGCCCTCCATCAGGCACTAGAACTGATACCTGACATACACCAAAAAGGCACAATAATCAAACACATTCAAATATATGAGTTTGACATATTTAGAGCATCAAACTTACATACTTACACACATCTAAAAACTAACTCTAAAGGTTGTATGACTGATATTTACATTTACAAAGATCAAATTTTGTGTTCCAGAATCTTATAGATCTTCATTAAGTATGATCAACAAAATTGTGGACGAAGACACATACTACATACTACTGTTCTCCATTCGTTTAATGGCTTGTGTTTTTACACAAGCACAATATGGCACTACGGAGCTCAAACTTACTAAACATATGAATTCAAGTTTATCAGTTAAATCCCTTCAGTCATTATTAAAAAGAGAAAATGCTGTTTTCATGTAGCATAACTTTAAATTGTTACAGGAAAATATGTTCAACAAAGGCAGATGCTCAAACCACGTATTTACCAGGGTTTTCTTTTCTTGAGATAAAACATACAAATTGTTTACATCTTATCTTTATAAGTAATGGAATAATCTAAAGGTTAGTGTATTTAAATTATTCCCCTATTTTATTTAGCTGTTGCTGGATTCTTTTGAATAATGTGAAATCTTAAGGTTTGTGAAACACTTTCCTTGTGGATCTTCAACTCAAAAGATGGTGCCTAGTAAGTTGTTCTCTGTTGGATACCTATATTTTTTATGAAGGTTTTGCATAAAATGCTCAGCTGAAGAAGATTTTTAATGGCTACATTAAAAGCCTGATTTAGTTTTTTTTTTTTTTTAAAACACAATTTGGTGTAATTCAGCTACAATTTAATTCCACCAAAACAGAAAATGAAAGCTAACACGGAGCCCAATGCAGTCTTTGCTAAAACCATAGTAACACTGTATCGACAAAGCCAACCGTTTGCAGCACTCACTTACACATATTTGAACTTAAAACTAAAATTTTAAAAATTAATCTCAAATATATGCCTGCCATGGCAGTAAGAGCTGATCATCCAAACCAGGACCATGTGTTGACCATTGTTTGACATAAAAACCTTCAATGAGTTACATAAAGCATGGATTACCAGGTAGTGTCCCTCCTGATATTGAAAACAGTTTATTATGTTGATTTTATGTACGTAAAGTGTGGTTTATAGGGTTTAGCTTTGTAAAACAGCACGTTTAGTATCTGAGGGCGTGATACTGCATGTAGCCTGTTCTTTCAGAATGTACTCATTTAACGGTGTCAAAGATAAAGTAAAACTAAACTCTACATGAAAATACCCTACAATGCCAATATTCCCAGCAGGAAACCTAACAGAGAGCTATGGCTCCATCTAGCGTAAATTCACCAAATACAGAATTGACTTGCTTTTTGTTTTCCATGAATTTAACTTGGCTATAAAGTAATCCTTATGGAAGAAGACAGGCATCATTACAGTATGTCAATGATTTTTACACTTCTAACACTTCTCTCTTTTATGACCACTTAAAGTATATCCACATAAACTGCTGGCAGAAATGGGCACAACTTTGTTTTAATTCACATGAACAGGAATGATTCAGAACAAAGTCAGGGTGTGGCTGGGGACCCACCCTCAGTCAGGGTCTTGAAGTGGACAGACAGAGACTCTTCCTCTGGGTTTGGTGGGCGTCTGTACTCTTCTCTGGTGACCAGGTAACACACTACCACCCCGAAAAGCACCAGCAGGATTCCCAATAGATTGGCCAGCACCCCCTCTGGAGAAAATTCAGGGTAGGTTGGCCTTGGAATAAAGACAGAGGGGAAACATTCAGGAACTACGGGTTAGACTTGTTATACAGTATGTTATGTTATATTGGTTGGGAAAAATGTTAAGTCTGGCAGTGTGAAGACAAAACTTGTAGTTTAATTCATTGATGCCAATTCATTTAATAATTTAATAATTATTATAAATCTTTTGAATTCACTTTCTGATGCAGACAGAATCATATCAATGTGAGCAGATCCTAACCAAAGAATTTGGGCCTCTGCTGTGTATTTTTAACATCTTGGTGTCATTTTTATTTAAGAACTCCTGAAATAGACCTGGGGGTTAATTTAAACCTAACCTTAACATAACATAAACTTAACCTGGAGGTTAAGTCTATGGTCTATTGTGTTATCAGAGCTAATGGTCTAAGGTTTTTTGGGAATGTTTTACAGATCAAAACGCATTGATTGTTGTCAAGACAAACATAATTAAAAAGAAAACAAACATCCATCCATCCATTATCAATACCGCTTATTCCCTCATGGGGTCGCGGGAGAAAACAAACATTAAAGCTTTATTGCACGCTGCATTTATGAAATTATATTGAAGAAAACTTTAGAAGTGTTTTAAAATTAGCATTAGGTGATAGAAAATACCTTCCACGTTTCCACACATTTAAAAACTGACAAACATTGAACCGCTTTCATCTGTTAATATTAACCATTTTATCTACTTTTAGTATTGACTTACCAAAACAAACAGGGAAATGACTCACAAAAACAAACATCAGCTATCTTTAATCTTTAGTGACTGAAACAGGATATACCCTGGTGAACTGTCCAGGGTGTATCCTGCCTCTCGCCTGTTGTCAGCTGGGAAAATTAATGGATGGATGGATTATGTCATTCAATTGCCAAGAGATCATACTTTCTGTGTTTTAAGACAAAACTGAATTTAGAAACCGATTGAATTGGACATACATGATGCTGAAGAGGAGCTTCTCTGTGATGCCGAGCAGGCTCGTCCCAATAGCCATGACCAGCAGAGTTAGGCCGCAGAACAAGTGGATGGGCAGGTACATGGCTCGTAACCACAACGATGCAACAGGGAACATGAAGAAAAGCAAACCCATCACCCACTGAGGTAAATAGAGAGAAAGGTTAGCTAATTGATTTCAACCACATCTTCAGCTGTGCATCAGTGTGTGCGTACCTGTAAGCAGAAAATAACTAAAGTTGCCATGCCGCACCAGCTGTGCAGAGAATACATATCTGAAATCTTGGCTGCTTTGTGGAATTCAAACACAGCTACAATACCTATGTACACACAATTAGACACATACATACACCTTGAAATTTTCAGGACATATCTCAAAGTATTAAATCAGGTATATTGTGTTTTTGGCAGGCTCTCACCTATGATGCTGATGATGAGGGCAAACAAGTGAATGATGCCATGAAGCAGCTTCACGTTTCTCTTTGCCTCGTTGCGAAACACTCTGTAGACCAGCAAAGCTGAAGAGAGAATTAACTTTATTGTCTTGTGGCGGACTACATCTGAAATAACCAATTGAACTTTAAAGGGGCATACTTGCCAAAAAAAGTGCACTGTAAATAGCAACCTTTGTGTGAGTAAATTCTGTTTGTTTTTCTTGAGGGTGCCTGAATCAGCAGAATATAAGCCTCGCTGAAGCAAAAGGAGCTACCTGCTAGTTGTGTTCATTTGGATTGCTGTGGAAACTAAAATATGCAAACATAATTGGACTTCCATCCATCCATCCATTCTCCTCCGCTTATCCGGGGTCGGGTCGCGGGGGCAGCAGCCGGAGCAGGGAAATCCAGACTTCCCTCTCCCCGGCCACTTCGGCCAGCTCCTCCGGGGGGATCCCGAGGCGTTCCCAGGCCAGCCGGGACACATAGTCCCTCCAGCGGGTCCTGGGTCTTCCTCTGGGCCTTCTCCCGGTGGGACGAGCCCGGAACACCTCCCCAGGGAGGCGACCAGGAGGCATCCTGATCAGATGCCCGAGCCACCTCAACTGGCTCCTCTCCACGTGGAGGAGCAGCGGCTCTACTC